CCCCTCTTGCTGGCTCCTGTGCGAGGAGCTGGAGGGAAAATAGAGGTTCCGACAGCACAATGAGGCTCAGGGCAGGCGGTTTGGAGGAGCGCCCCGAGGAAACACGATTAACGGTGATCAGGGTCCTGTGACAGGAGCTGGATGGAGATCCTCAGGTTCTGAGTCTCACAAAAGGAATTTAAATCCGCCAATCTCCTCATGTGTGTGGCCTGAGGGCGCTGCATGCAGACATCCAGGCAGCACTTGAAGCGTGAAATGTGGTCAGGAATTTAGGGAGGCCCCTGCTGGAGCGCCCAGGCTGACAGCTGCCCCAGGGGGAAAAAGGGGATGGCCCCGATGTGGGGGTGCAGAAACCATGACAAAAATAGACCATTGAGAACCCCACCCCAGCCGCCTCCCACCTCGTGTCATTAGCAGGTACAGGGGCTCAGCACCTAGTGCTTACAGGACAGAGGGTCGGGCAGGCGCAAGGACCTGCTCAGGGTCACCATGGGGTCAGCAGTGGACGGAGGCAGCTGACGCAGGTCCAAGTGTGAACTGGGAAGAGGATGGGGGAGGGGGCTGCAGTTCCAGCGCCGAGGAGCTGTGCGATCTTGGGCAAGCGACCTGACCACGCCGCACCACGCATGGCCCTTGTGTACAAACAGAAACACAAGTACACGTGCCGAGGAGCGCCAGCGAACGCAGGCCACCGTGAGAGCTCTGGCCTGGGTGAGGGCCCGTGGCCTGCCGGCTCCCCCTCTGTACTAACCCATGAGAGTGGCCGTCCCCGTGTACTCAGCCCCGAGGGAAGCTCTCGGAGCATGTCTAAGGGCGTTAGTCCCGTGAACTCACGGAACTGACTAATATGCCCATTTTACAGATGGGAGCGTGGAGGCCCAGGGCCGTACACTTTGTAAGGAGTGAAGCCCGAGGAGCCCCAGCTCTTCAGGGGAAGTGTCCACCTCTGAGTCTCAGCCTGAGCTGGTCCCACAGCAGGAGCCCTGGCCGGAGCCCACCACCTCCCCGTTCCCATGCCCTCTCCACACTGTTCTCTGCTCTGCCCTCGCCTGCTCAAATCTCCAGTGGGTTTTCTCCACGCCTGGATTGAAAACCAAGGTCCTGGCCACGGTCTGCAGGAGCCTGCAAGAGCTGGTCCTGCCTCCTGTCTGACTCCATTTTCTACGCCTTTGCTTTCTCTGCTCCAGCGACACCGGCCTCACGCATGACAACCACGGGACCTGGGCACAGGCTTCCAGCTTCACCCAGAATGCTTTGCACCCAGATAGTGCGATGTTCTTTACTTAACTCGGGATGCCAGGTCGCCGGGCCTCGCCTCGGAGGAGAGACTTCCCCTGAACCTTTTGTACCCGATTCACAATGAGCAACCCCTCCCTGCACTTCCCCTGCTTCATTTTCCCACATATATTCATGCGCAGCCGAAAAGATTCTCCGTGCAACGCGGCTCCCTGAGCTCAGAGACGGTCTCCTGTTCTCCGCTGGGCTGCTGGCAGAGTGACCTTCCATATTCTCTAATAATCACCGGAAAGGGAGGTATCGTCCCACTTTACAGATGAGAAAACGGAGGCTAAGAGAAGTCCAGATGCCGTAATCTGTCTCACCCCACAGTGAGTAGGTGTTAGGCCCGGGATTCAAATCCAGACTCCTTCAGTGCCGACCGACCGAGTGTCGGAGCTGCTCCTCCGAGGGTCTCCCAGCCCTTCGCACTCTCGGTGAGCTAAGAATCCAAGGCCCCGACTGGTCTTCACTGTTTAGGGCTGTGTTTGCAGCAAGAAGTCATGAAACATGAGGGAAAGGCTTGCTTTCGGTTCGCTGCACACGATGGATTCCCCCAGCTCGGTGTCCCTGGTCTATGTTGCAACCCATCACATGTGCCGGCATCTGTCTGGGCGCCGTGGCTGGGCCCCGAGGGCTCCGGGGCAAAGAGGAAGCCGACACAAACCTGAAGCTCATGCCGCCGGCTGTGCCGTGAGGGATCAGATCCCTGGTCTGTGACCCAGGCGTCTCATGTCTTCTGCCAACGCCGTGAAACACTAACAGGCGAACTTAAGTGAGAAAAAAGTGAATCCCGGTTGGAACACCTTTTCTGTCCTGTTTCCCACATGTTGACGGATGTTACTATCAAGACAAGGTCCTTGCCGATCGAGTGACCTCTCTGTCCCAGCTGGTGAACCTCACGTCCCACGTGCCACCTTCCCCAGGAACTTCCCTGTTCTCCCCCCGCCCCCCACTTCCCCCGAATTCACAGGAGACTCCGATGTGTTCCGCGAACTGGGCCAGAAGGAAATCTGATTTGATTTTAACAGGGATATTAGCTTTGGTTAGTAAACATAGAACATATTAAACCAGTGAATCTGGGGCAGGCACTGGGGAAAACAGAAAACAGAGAGAGGTGAAAGTGTCTTGACATTTGCATTTTTATGGCTGGAGAGTGAGCACAGCAAGAACTCTCTGGATTTCGGCCAAGTGGAGAATGCGGCCGGGGTGAGCCCGACCGTGGAGGGTACAGACTGTGTCTTATTCAGTTCGGCATCCCTGGCACTGTGCCCTCGGCCTGGCCCCGCCCGGGGGCTGCTTCCTGGGCACACAGACAGGCCCAGTGGTGCTGATGGAAGAGGGGCTTGCTGGTTGACCACCGGGCGGCCGCCTGTTCCTCGGGGAGGAGGCAGGCAGGCGGGCTGAGTCCAGGGGGAAGGAGCTCTGTGAGCGTTCCCCATGGCAAACTTCCAGGCGCTCGCCGGCCGGGAACCAGGCAGACCTGCTCTCCGGTTATTATTTTTCCAGCTGAATGGGGTTCAGTTAATGGAAGACTTAATGACGCCTTCTGGGCCCAGACAGGTTCCTGGCCCGGCAGCCACAGGTCCCAGATCAGGGAGAGGTGAGAGCCGCAGGGCGGCTGGGAGGCAAAGGGCCGGGCGTTTCAGCATCACGGAGGGACTTGGGGGGCCACGCTCTCCTGCTGCCTTTGCCCCTTGGGGAACCCGAGGCTCAGGGAGGAGAGGTGACCCGCCCAAGGTGGCAAACGAGTCTCCGGTGGCACCAAGACTAGAACCTGGGGATCTCAACTCCCAAAGCACATCCCTCCACCCCCCAGCACGCCCAGCCTGGGGGCCAGACAGGCACCGAACCGACACAGACGGCGGGAGCAGTAGGTTTACAGCTGTGAGTAAGCAAAACCGAGTTACTCTCGCATTATTATTATTATTATTATTATTATTCCATTGTCTCCCACACGAGCAACTGTGAGCCTACACTGCCCACTCCGTCCCTGTGGGCAGAGGCAGCGACAAGTGCTCCCAACACAGGAGCGGAGGTTCACGCTGGGTTGTGCACAGTGGAAGGTGGGGTCCTCGTGTGGAAAATCGGACGATTTCAATAACAATCTTCACACCAGCCCTGCCCAGGGCCGCCCGGCCCCCTCTGCCCTCTGGAGCCTGGGCTGGGAGGGGGCCCCTCCCGGCTGAGCCCCGTTGCCCCCCGCGGAGGCTGAGCAGCTCGGCCGTCCTCGGGGAGGGCAGCACGGAGCTCAGCCTGTTACACACTTCCCTTGGCTTCTGCAAAAACAACAAACTAAAAATACTGCAAACCACACCGTGCCTCTGCGCAGCCACCCAGAAGGCGGTGAGCACGTGTGCGCCCTGCCGCTGGCTCCCCCGTGGCTGGGCAGGATGTGGGGCACCCAGTGCAGGAGGGGGCACCGGGCTCGCTGTGGCCCTCCCAGTCTGGTTCCCAGACAGCCTGGAGCCCGGAGAGACTTCCCTGGGGATGGTAAAATGGCCTGTCAGCTC